TTTACACTTGCACCAGAACTTGATGAGGAATACACTTTCTTGGAAGTCATAGTATATTATGATTATTCCGTGAACCCCGGTCCTTTTCGAAAGTCCTTGTTAGATCATGTGCAGCCGCACATTTCTGAAATAAAACAAAGCGATGAGTTATTTTGTCGGGTTGCAATGGTAGCTATTATCTTAAATTTCCGCGATCTAGAAATGTTTGACATGATTCTCACGAGGCTTACACTTACCGTTTCTTTTAAACACTTAGAAATTGCTGGGGTTGTCATATGATTTGAAAAGTCTGTTATTTATTTTGAACGATGTTATAGGATTCGATGAACGTCTAAAACTCATGGTTGAAAAGAGAATTAGGGAGTTGATCGGGCATGATAACCTTTTTCAGCTATGTAGACACCTCCAAGAGTTTCGCAACGAAAGCCGATTTGACATAAAGATTATATTTCGCGAAAGACTCTTAAAATTACTGCAATGTCGGGACATACGGTGGGAAGATGGTGACATCTTATCTTTGAATGACATCCTTCAGGAACAAGATCTTAATTGGCCAATCGAAGATCTAATAAAGATACTCGAGTGTGTGGCATCTTCGGATCAACTATCATTGTTGCAGAATTTTCTCATAATTTTGAAATTTACATTGGGTCAAATTCAAGAATCTAAGTCAACCCTCATAAATAAAGCTTTAGCTACCTCATATTCGTGGCTTCCAAAACTAACCACACTTCTCACTTCGAAAGGCAATGACCCGTCCATACTAGCCAAAAACATTGCACTTGTTACACTCGCAAATTTTTCCTCTGTGTATGCAATGGTTAAATATTGGTCACATATTTGTGAAGAATTGAAAAAGATTGTGAACAATTTATTAGATCCTCTACCTAATCAAGTTATTTTCGAGATAGCTTCTTTTATCGATAGTTTTGAACCTGGTGTTATAAAGCACTATGTCACTTTGGCGAAGGCTAGATTAGATCGCGATGTGCGGAAAATCGACGATCACCTTTTGGGGGAAATAAAGCGCATATGCAACTCCACAAGGCCGCTTCATATAAGAAATGGGTTTGTACTGTATTATTGATGTCACCGTTTTCAATTTGATGCAAATGTCATAAAGAAAATTTTTTTTCAAATTTAGGATCTGCGAAGATTTACTTTATCACATATTTGATTGCTTGCAAAAAAATGCATTCGAAAGATTCTACACCGAGGATACTTACAATCTCCAGATTTCAGTACTGGAATCTTCATATTTCTGGAAGACCATATTCCTCTCAATAGGAAGTACGGAAAAACTTTTCTCACATCCGTTTGTCAAAGAAACAAGAAATATCTTAATAAATCTGGCCACGGAAATTACAGAAAACTCCATAACTATTGGATTGCTGGAGGGTATGCTTAGAATTTACTCAAATGACGAAAATATTTTTATTGACCTCGTCAATTCAGCTGTTGGAGATCAAGTTGAACTCATGATGACGGATAATATACTAAACACACTTCGCCACATATGTGACACCTACACTAAGAAATTTTCTCAACTTGAAAGTTTTTACACGAAATTTTGTTCCTCCAAACAGATAACCGATTATCAGAAATACATAAGTGATTTGAAAAATCGAAAAGAAGTGATAAATAATACCACAATTAAAAATTACTGTTCCGATGATCATTGGGGAATGCATATTGAAGCAATTTCGGCCGCGGATGCGGCTTTCAAATTTTTTGAATCAAGAACGTTTGAAAACGTTTATAGACTTACCTTGGAATTAGAAACGAGTGAATTAAATGTTCAAATTGTTGCCAAACAAATTATCGGAAATGCAATTGATGATTATACTAAAGCATGCCAAAGATACAAAAATTGGAAAAAGCTTAAATATCAGGAAGTCAAATATTTCTGGAATGAAATAAAACCCGAGCACGTTGATGCTGAATTGGAATTTTTACTTTCCCATTGCAACATCATCAAAGGTACTGATCGTGAAAAAAAACTGTCCACTACAATCGAACATTTGGTGGAAATCCCAATGTGGAGTATTCGAATGGAACAGTTACTTAAGGTGCTGGAAATTTTCGAATATACTATTGTCCTTAAATTCGGACCGAATGAATTATTGAAAAAGTTAAAAGACAATAATTTGATTCTCGAGAAACTAATTTCCATGTTTAAAGATTTAAAGATTTCTATAGATCGCTACAATGTATCGAACAACACCTGGAATGCCATGACGGAAATTTTGGCATCTAGTGATTTTATCATATTTCTCAAATCTTTGGTTGGTCATGATTTGAAAAATTTGATTAACGGTGTAGATGATCATTCAGATGAAAGATTAATGCAAGCAGATACTGTGTCCACCTTTATTCAAGTCAAATCAATCTTGGAACCGCTCCTAGATAGAAGGTCGAAGGATTCTTCTAGAAATGCGCTAATTACATTCTTGTCGAAATTTTTAAAGGTTACAGAGGGTAACCCATTACTAGCCAACAAAATAAAGCTCTGCAACTCAAATTACCAGGCATTGAAGAATATGTATGAAGTAAGTTACATTATATTTCTTTTGAATTGAAATGAAATCGTTAAAAAAATAGGATTTAACTTTCAAACGGATAGAACCTTTCAAAACGTGGGGAGATAACAAAACAACGAATTAAGAATTGTGTCGTAAAAGGAACGTACGAGTTCACGAGTTCGGAAACTGACGAACAAAGTTGCACGGCGAAACTATCATATTCTAGAAATAAACACGACAAAACTTTGACGATATACAGGTAATTTATTAAGTGACATCCTTTAATTTCTCACGTACAAAATTACTGATTACAGTACTATATCGTGAACAGTTTTTCGGATTTGCAAGATTTAAGGGGACGTGCCCTTTTAATTGCGAAGGCACCTGTTACAGCGAAAACGACCGATGATGATAATGGTGAAGCTGATGAGATTACAGCGGATGACATGAATGAATTTGTCATTCAAGTTGATCTCGCACTTCAAATCATTAACGTTGCATCGGCTTTGATCGAACGACATTTCACATATCGAAGATTTAACGTTTCAACTTCTTCCACAAATGATATGGTTAAGCTACTTAAAATTTTATCGGCTGACCTACAGGAATGGGAAGAAATTGTAAACGTGGCACAGGAGAAACATTACTACCTAACTTTTTATCCTGTTCGTCACATTTTAAGTTTTTATGATTATTTCTTCTTTAGAGACAAAGATGATCGTAAAATGGATGCTATCAAGGATAGATGCAAAAAACTTTTACGATTTGTGAGTGATGAAGCTGAGCTACCGTCTCCCGGAGAGTTTGGTGAACATGTTTCTCGCGAAGATAACTTTTTGGAAATTTTACAAGTTATCGGAAACATTTTAAATCGCATGTTTAGCAATGTCCCACCACGAAGGCGGTTGATCAAAAAGGAGATCGAAAGGATTGCTTCCAATTTAATAAAACCAGGTCAACTCTATGTTGCTGCTTGTAACGATGAATTTAGTGTGCCTAATATTATCATGAGCTTATTTTCAAATTATAACTACTATCCGGAACCTTGGCAACTTTTAATATGCAAAGCGTCAACTAAATTAGAGGAATTAATAACATTTACCAAGCGATGCTTCTTTGCTTTTAGGAATGGGTATGATAAATATCTATTTTGCATTGCCAACGTAGAAATTTTAAAATTTGAACTCCAGTACCAATTGGTCAACAGCATTCGTTCGTTATCCTTGTTAGAAAAGAAATTTCACCTAGCCTTAATATGTTGTCGTCGAGAAAAAGAAATGCACCACCACATCCTCGAACAATTCCATCAAGACGTTCATTTCGTCACTAAAGGGCTAGGTTCTGAATCTATGAATAAAATCTATCAGGAATTGTGTCCAAATGTGACGTGCGTTTCATCGGATTTGTCCGGCCAGGGTAAGACTGAAATAATAAGGAAAATCAGTTATCAGAAAAGTTGGACCCCACGGAATTTGTTAATAAGCGATGGAGTTAGATTTACAAGTCTTGTTCGTCTATTATCCGAACTCAAACTCAAAACATTTGAGAGCCTTCATCTGAACATTGTATCAATAGATCATGCTTATGACGTAAACATGTTCTTGTTTGAGTTATTAAGTTTGGGAATGGCATCCAACGGAAATGACATAGCGTGTTTACCACCCACTTCAATTTTTATCGAGGTCGCTTCTACCTTGAATCAATATCTTCTCGACTCTCTTCCTCTGACTGGTTATTTGCCAAGACATCATATTTCATGGAACATAAATGAATTAATTGTATCCCAGGAATATAATAGTCCAATTCAAATAGTTTCAAGGTACTTGGATGCATATGATCGTGATGTAATTGATCAGACAAACATACTTTTCGACGAATCGCAAGCAGCTGAAACCTTCATTCCTCCTGAACGTTGCCAACAATTGATTCAAAAATACTTCTTTGATGAGAAAGCCAAAGATGTTGCATCGTTTCGATTCCTTGAAATCTTTCTTGAAATGTTTGCTGATCAATTGGTTCGAATGTCGGAGAGTACCTTCTTTCGATTTGAAAAACTGGAATCGATGATCAGAGATCAGAATATTAGGAAAACCCTATTGGAAATTTTACTGTCCGTATCTATGGAATTTGCCACGAGGTCAATTGACACTAAAGCTGAACAAATGAAAAATTTATTTGATGACAAGAATGCGGCTCTTGGAACTATAAAACCCTGGGAAGATTCTAATCATTTGCTAGTGGTCTTTTTATCGCAAACTCCAGATTCAATATGTGCTCTGTACAGGAGTAAAGACTTGGTGCCTGAAAATGTGATAGGTTTGTTAAGAAGCCAGCATGTGGGATACACATATTTTTTGTTAAAGGATTTTGAACAAATGTCCTCCAAAAAAATTTTGAGAAAGCTGGAGTGCCTCGCAAGAACTACACTCGAAAAGCAAGAATATCCGCCATACGCTTTATCGGTCGAGAATTTACTGAAAATGACATTAATTCTTTTGAGAACTCGTGCCGGTATTCCCGTAGTCGTTTGTGGTGAGGCCGGATGTGGAAAGGTGAGCATTGCGAAGTTATTTTATTGCCGAAGGACAAAGGGTTACATTTTCATGTCTATTTGAATTTTAGACGAGTTTGATTAAATTCTTAGCTTTGATGGTTGAAGTTGAGTTTAGAGCGCTCAATCTGCATGCTGGTGTAAGTGAAAAAGATATTTTGAAATTCATGAGTGAGAGCGAAAAAGTCGCAGAGAACGGACAGGTTTGGTTATTCTTCGATGAAATTAACACCTGTAATCATATTGGCCTCCTTGCTGACCTCATCGCCCATCGAATTATACTTGGAAACTCGATACACCATAACATACGAGTGTTTGCCGCATGCAACCCCTACCGCATCCTTACAAAGAGTCAATGTGAAGCTGGTCTGGAATCCAGAAGATATGAAAAACAACATAGACTTGCCTATCAAGTGCATCCTCTCCCCGATCAAATTCTTGACTATGTTTGGGATTATGGTGTGTTGAGACCATCAGACGAAAAGATCTACATCAAACTTATGGTCCAAAAGCGCTTGGAAAATCTAGAAGAGAAGGATGCTGCGAGATTTTCCGAGCTTCTATTCTGCTCGCAAGAGTTTATCCGCAAACAAGAAGGAAAGCATAGCGTCAGTTTGCGAGACGTTAAGCGAGCGATAAAGATATTTGAATTCTTTTTAATGAGTAGGAATAAACGTCACGAGAACAAAAAATCCTTTTTACAGAGTATTAGTAAACTTCACAAGAAAAAAAATGTTCGAACAGATAAACAACTTTTAAAATCTTACATTTTGTCTTTAAGTCTCTGTTATCAAGCGCGATTTTACGAT